CTCAGTACACAGAGTCCAAAATAACCCAGCAGTGACTCAGCTGCGTGTGTTGACAAGTGGGGATCTGCTTCCTCATCAAATACAACACAAGCCAACAAATCAAGGCTGGGGTATCCCACGCACACATGGCCTTTCCTTCAGGGAGGAGACAAGGCCAGAACTCAGGACAGTGGGCATGGAGGAGCCACTGGGAAGATGCTGCTGTCTCCAGGCTTGTTGTCTTGAAGCTCCTGCTTCCAGTCCCTGCAGACCTGCCCCAGACCAAGAGCCARCTGTGGCTGTTGCTGCACCACAGCTCGTTGAGCACTGAGGACATGAGCATGGCATCAGCACAGTGTGAGCATCTTGGGTGTGCACAGGGAGAGCTGGATGACGCAAAAAGGCTGCCAAGGTGTCACTCTGAAGGCAAGAAAAACCCAACAGACGTTTAATCTCTTATTGCCATTAAGCTCAACAAACGTGAATGTCTGTCTATGTAAGCTTTGCACAGGGATCCAGCCTTGACCACAGCCTGCAACCTCAGCTGTGCTTCTTCATCCAAGAAAGCAGCCAGTGGAGCTTTTGGCATCAGCAGCACAATCCTGGAAGAAGGTTCCTGTGGTGGCCAAGAGCCTGGGGAAGGATCCCTGTCCACGCACTGCACATAGGCTGCTGCCACCGAGCTGTTCCCAAGGGACCCCTGGATGAAAGTTCCTTTTCTCTGTGCAGTGTCTCTGGCATCAACAGTGCTGCTCCCACATGCTTTTGGAAACAGGAGATGAAGGGCAATACGACTGTGTGTAGCTATTCACTATCAACCAGTCTATCTAGATCTCCTGCTTTTCTTAGCCTCTCTTCAATGAGCTCCTCTCCCTGTATTTAGGAATTGCCATTTCTTCTGCATTTTGCTTTTAGCAGCATAATATAGTTGGGCTTCACCTCCCTGAGCCTGGTAAACTGACTGACTCAGAAAYCTGCAATCTGCCTCAAAACAAAGCATTTGAAATAAAAGGTATCAGCAGTAATGGAGCTACTCGGYTCAGGAGCAGAAATGCTAGAGGGTTACTCATGTACCCACAAACCTTCTAACCTTCCTTCAGCTTTTTTAACCCCTGCAAACCCAGGACAAGGCAGGCTGCAAGTAAGAGCTGAAGTGTCATTTCTGATACRCTTCCACTCCAGTGTGCAAACCCTGGAGCTGGGAAATGGAAGAGCTCTGATGCCAGCACCGATGACGCGGAAGGGGGAGCCGAGCTCTCGCTCCACGGCCTCCAAAGTGCTCTTATTTCTGCTGGTGAAACAGATGCCAGCTTCTGAGGGGATTATGTGTCATAGAGCCTGTTGGCTSTGACAACTAATTATCTCCCACAACAGTTTGGCCTTGAGATTTTCAGCWCAAAGGGCATAGCAGGAGTGCTGCTGTCCAGCACCATGTGTAGTGATTTGTCCCCACTTGGGTGTCCCTGTTGCCAAAGAGGTGGCACCCCAAGGTACACTGTCCTCCCCCAGCTCAGGCTCACCCCAGCAGATCCTTCCAAGCAGCCTGGGGAGGGAGCGCCAGTGCTCTGGTGAAACCTCAGAGATGCCTCCAGCAGGAATCCAGGAGATCAAGCAGTGGCTAAAATCAGCTCAGCATCCCAACAGCAGCCTGCCTGATCCTCCYATTCCCATGGCTGGATGTTGGTGTGGCAGCTGTGCCATGGCACACTCTTCACAGGCTGCACACAGCTGCAGCCAAGTCCAGGGGAAAAAATAACTGCTGCAGCCTGAGTCTCTCTCCAGGGGAGAGCAGCCAAAGGAGTAAACAGTTMTGGAATGCAGCCTCCAAACCAGCACTGAAAATGTTTTATAACTTCATACAAATTGATGGCTGACCCCCACTGAGACTCCCAGGAGCAGATGAAAAGCAGASCCAGGCAGCTGAAAGAATTTAAGTCATTGAGAAACATACAGAGTACTGGAAAATACTMGAGATGAGGAAAGAGATGAAGAGAGGATTTAACAGAAAAGGCAAAGGGTGTGCTGGCAAGCAGSTATTGGAATTGGGCTGCCCAGCAGGCAGGCTGGAGGCACTGGTGTGGAAGTGACATCAAGGCTCTAGACTTGCAGCACTCAGCTCACCTGCAGCCAGAAAACATTGAATACTGGGGGTACTGAGTATTCTTTTGCAACAGCACCAGTTAAGCACTGGGGAGCAGGTGCTAGAGGACCCCCAGTCAAGGTTCCTATGGAGATATCCCAGCTGGGATCAGAAACTGGACGCTGTCAGGTAGATGGGATGGAACCTGCTTGACTCACCCCTCTCAAGAGGCTGATGGCTGCACCAGCTTCCCCAAACCTGTGATTCTCCAGASAACTTGGGTGGAGCTGGACACATGAGGCTACAAGGGAAGGGAGGCAAGGCTTTCCAAGCTTCAGAGCCAGATKGAATGCAGGTTCAAATCAAATCTGGAGCTGATTTGCTGTCAGGCAGCAAAGGGGAATGCTCTGTGGAACAGCCAGGGTCTGGGCATACTGCAGTGTGAGTGAGAACACCCTGAAATTGCAGCACACACCCAGGGTTGAAGAGATGCTGCCATTCACCAGCAAATCAGTGCAGGTTGAAGGCAGCAGTCACAGGAACAAGCTTGTCCATCACTGTGCTGTTGAGGACCTGAGTCCTTTGGCCAATTTGCAGTAAATTCCTTCATTTGCTGCACTCRCAGCATGAAAGGAGGATCTCAAAGGCAAGAATAATTAATGGTGAACATTACATTGAAGAGAGCTGGGTCGTCAGAAAATTAAGATGGAGGAAGTGATAAAGGACTTCAGGGTACTGCCTAGAGCTGCAAGAGGAAAATAAAATCCTCTTACACCTCTGCTTTTTAACATCACCTTGAAGCACTCTTTTCCTGAGGACAGAGGAGAACCTTGGTCTCTGAATACCAGCGTTGCCTCAGTCTGCAGGGCCCTGTGAAGAGATGCAGCTGTCTCTKAAATAACAGGAGTTGACACCAGTTGTGAATAGATGAGTGATCGTGGCTTCAGCCGTCACAGCCTCGGATCTGATTTCAAATGAARCCCCATTCATCCATCCAGTGCCCATCATAGGGTTATTAAAGGAGCATCTGTCACAAAACCACAGTGCCTTTAAATGCTTGAAAAAGGGCACAACAAAAATAAGCCTGCTTAGCTTATATACTTTTCTCTGGGTGACGTGATTCTTGGAACTGTTTAGCAAAAATAAATGGTAAATATGATGTGTAGGGAAAATGCGTGATATGAGCAGGGTGAGGTTTGTATTTGACCTTAGTGTAGAGTCTGGCTGTCTGTTTGCTGTTCTAGGCTTGTGGGGTAGGTATGAGGAACAGTGGCAGGGAGTTTTCTTGCGTAGCATAGTGCAGAGCCCCAGCACAGCAAATGTGCTGCTCCAGAGCCCTGGCTCAGAGCACTCCCTCCAGGACACAAATGGAAAGCCATTCCCTGATTTTGGATGCAGCAGGGATAACATCTCCAGCAGCAGGAAAGGGCCAAGTTCAGGCCAAGTGGGATGTGCTGTAGCAAGGCACGTGAGCTGAGGGAGAGATGGTTTGGTTACTCATCAGGACTGAGTCCACACTTYGTGTTTTTACAAAATTGCATTTAGCTAAACAGAAAGCTTAGATGTCATAGCTGTCCTGTGTGAATGGTTCCAGCTCATACCTTCTTACACTCACCAGCAATCTCTTACCTGAGACAACAAAATCTTTTCCTTCTCTGCAACTGTGCAGGTCCTCTTAGTATTCTTTACTCTCTGCCTGCTGCAYTGGGCAAAGCTGCCATCCTCTGGCACCTGAATGAGTACCCTCCTGTCCTGCCACCAGCAGGTCACCTCCTGCCCCACTGCCTCTCTGGGTGACATCCAGGCACAGGGATCAAAGGAAAAGATCACTGCTCCTGCACAGACATGTTCTAATATATCCACAGTACACTGAGAGCATCTCAGTGCATTAGATTGATGCTCCTGGAGCTAGAGGTGGACATTTATGCCCTGTAATGCACAACAACCCTTTTTGAAAGAAACTGGAGTGTCTGCGTGCAGCCTTAATGCTGTTGAGAAAGACTTTGTTGTGTGATGCAGGGCTGTTTTTATAATTCATATTAAATTGTAATCCAAATTCCTCTTTCTTTATAAACTGTTTTATAAAATTGTCTTGAATGTGGATGGAAAACTGGATTGTGGTCATGTGTGCAAAGCTGTTGGGTTCCTGTATAGAAACATGTCTTGCCAAAAGACAGGAGTTCCTACCCCAAGTTTCAGCCGAGAGAGGCATTGCCTGTGTTCATATATTTTAAGCCTAAAGCAGAATAAAATTACATGTTTGAAACTGTCCGAGTGTTTTAGATAGCTAAATCCCCTCTCTATTCCCCCAAAGTCCCAATTTGTTCTCCCCARTTATCACCATCTCAGTGGGGTCCTGGATTCTTTCCAAGAGCTGCATCTCCTGCAGCCMCTGCCCTGTGCTGGATTTCAAACTGAAGCAGTGATTCCCTTGGGCAGATCCATCTCCCATCATCTGAGCTGACTGAAAGCAAGGTTTGGYATGTCCCTTCCCTGCACAGAGAGAGACATGTCCAAAGGGGACTCGACCTGTATGTTCTGGGAGCAAGATCTCCATGCTCCAACCTCTTATCTGAATAAACCCTTGCAGAAAAACGTGTGTGTACAGGATCCAGCACAATGGAGCAGTTGGGACCCTTATCCCTCAGGGAATAAAAATAGCAAGTTAATATTAAAACTGTGTATTTTCACGGATTGCAGTTGGGGCTCAAAACACATCATGCTTAATTTCCTGCTTTCAGTTCCCTATCAGATTTTATGCTTAGCTTAGTGAGGTTTGTTTTTCCCCAGAACAGGACTTTTTTCCTTTAGCTACAGTACATTCAGCCATAAAAAATGAGATTGAAAAAAGATTAATAGGAAGCTAAAGGATTCATCTGAGATTGACAAAGATTAATATGTGTCTTATCTGTTTTCTTTTTCTTTTCCCTTCTTCTCTCAGCTACCTAGACAGCTTAGATCGAATTGGAGCTGCAGACTACCAGCCCACGGAGCAGGATATCCTCCGAACCAGGGTCAAAACAACTGGCATCGTAGAAACCCATTTCACATTCAAAAACCTCCACTTCAGGTTAGTATAAAATTGTACAGTAAATTTTCTAAACAACTACTATCATAGAGTTTCCCCATGTTTCTAAGGGAGAAGTTGTTAAATTGCTGGTTCATGCATAGATACTTCCCACTGCAGAAGACACAGCATTTCCAAGGGTCAACAATAGGAAATGTTTGGCAATCCTGTTTTGAAAGTCAATGCCTRTTAGATAAAAGCTCATGGAAGCTTCTTGTAACCCAAACAACCCCTCTTTGTTGGAAAGTATAATATAAGATTGACCCCCAAATCTGATCAAGCCTCATAAATGCAGAAGTATATGGCCAAATCTTTTCTCTTAAGTGGGTCAGTTACACAGAGTTAACACRATGCATTGACCCTCATGATGCCATCCAGTAGAGAAAAGAGGGCACAAAGACAGAAAGCCACACACAAACACTATTTAGAGCATAWAGAAGTCAAGTGTGTGGTCTCCACCTCCACAGACCTTCTGGGACCCAGCGCACTGCTAAGGTTGGGAATCCCACAAATCCYTACATTCTTGTCTGTAATTTTTCTTCCTGGTCCTCCTTGGCTTCAGGCTCTGGAGRAAAAGACAAGCTAGCAGAGAGAGACCCACTGCTTTGTGTTTGGAGCCTCSCAGGGGCCATGTGGTCAGAAAATGCCAAGAATGCTAAAGTTGCCTGGTAACTAGGGAGGAGTGGGTGGTGATGGTCCTCCCCTGTGCCACAGGCTCTTCGATGTCGGGGGCCAGCGGTCAGAACGCAAGAAGTGGATCCACTGCTTTGAGGATGTCACAGCGATCATCTTCTGTGTCGCGCTGAGTGGCTACGACCAGGTGCTCCATGAAGACGAAACCACGGTGAGTCTAACTGGGTCTTGGAGGCCCCAACACCTCTTTATGGGATACTGCATAGCCAGCAACTGCTCAGAGATCGCCGAATGCTCCCTGGGGTGCTACAGTAATGTGCTTTTGTCCGTCGCTCTCCCCTCACTCTGAAATCCTGGGGAGATCTGTCCTCCTCCACACTCTTTGATATGAAGTCTGCGTGTCCAGGTAATGCTTCCTTACACTGGTAAAGTCAGAGTGGTTTGTTTCTCCTTTCTAGCTAATCTGTGTTTTCAAAATGCATTAYAGGACTCTATATCCAGCAAGAGGACATAGCTGGGTGGGCTTTAAAACAGGGAAGCAGTCAGGCTGTGGTGCAGAGGTGCAGGGCAGCACTGCATGCCCAGGGCTCTGACTAGGAATATAACCTATTTCTTCAGGCTACAGAAATTCATTTTCCTTAGTGAGAGTGGAACTGTTTGATTCCTCAGGTAATTTGCTCTAGGAGAGATTTTATGACTTCCCACTGTGACATTAGGCTCAAAATACCATCTGGAAATGAAGCTGGYGAGGACCTGTGTGCTCCCTGGTATTAGAGTGCAATTAATACAAGTGAATTGAATACACAGAAAGGATGCAATAAGACTCATTATTGTATTCCAACCATTCATCCAATATGATATGGATGCATATTTTTTGGGACTAATGACAACCAGTTACTTTTGGTACATACTGGTAGGCAGCCAGTTACATTTGTCTAATGAAAAGGAATTGGAGGCCATACTCGGGCTCAGTAATGATTTCATCAGTGCCCAATCTGCAGCAGCAGCAGCATGGAGGGCTCGTTCCTGCCAGCTCTGTCTCTCTGAGGCTTTTTRTTCTCCTGCTGGTAAAGATGGCAGGGTTGCAGAAAGCTGTGGATGAGGATGGAATCGAGAGAAAGACTGCTCTTAGGTGACACTTGTCTTGTCCCAAAAAGACTAGGAGGACTGTGGTTTCTAGCCTCTGAGCCAGGTTTATGAGCTCTTGCAAACTCTCTTTCAAAATCACCTGGTTGGTTGAATCATATTGATGCCAATTCTGGGTGGTATGAACAGTCATAGACTTGAGGGAATGGCATGACCCTGTGTCAAGGAGAGGTTTAGGCTGGAAATTAGGAAAAGGTTCTTCACCCAGAGTGTGATCAGGCACTGAAACTGGCTCACCAGGGAAGTGATCACAGCACCAAGCCTGACAGAGTTTAAGAAGCATTTGGACAATGCTTTCAGGCACATGGTATGACTCTTGGGGTTGTTCTGTGTAGGACCAAGAGTTGGACTTGGTGGTCCTTGTGATTTTGTGATCATGACTGTGTCCCTCCAGACCGACTGAGACACTCTACATCCTCTCATGCCCACCTATTTATAATCCCCAGTTGTCTCCTCCCTCTCACCCTGGCCCTGATACACTCAAGGGGGCTCAGCTCTTTAGGATTTACTGGGAAGGAACCAAAATCTCCTGACATTATTTGAAAAATCCAGCCATTAACTCAACACTATAGAGCTTTGCAAGTAGGCAGCAAAATCAGATAGGAGACACAGAAAAACACACAGGGAGAGGGCAGGTYCAGGAGCAAAGCTGTGATATGAGCAGAGAGAAAGGTGCTCTGCAGGTATAACTTGGACTGGCACACCCAAACTGAAGGTTTTGGTACAGATCACCTTTGGGTGCCCATCTACACAAGTCAAAGCCATGAAGCACAACATGGAAGGGCTTGAATGCCAATGCCATTTTTTAAATGTCAGCCTTAACTCTGCTCCTCTGAACTGGCAGTTAGAGCATMTCTCCTGGGGAGAGCTCTGCCAGTGATTGTCCCTCACCCAGCACCACCCCGGAGACGAGCAGGGAGCCAGCTCAGCTCCYTCCTGAAGTGCTGCGCTGCAGAAAYGGGGATTTATGCATCCCCRACTTTCCTTTTGCAGCAGGAGAGCAGCCTGCTGCAGCTCTGGCACAGCAGTGACATTTGCTTGCTATTTCAGTCCCTGTTCACAACACATTTCGGGGGATGCTGAGCAACAGGAGGGCAGAGGCAGCTGCTGCTCATTTACACATTCGGCGTAAACGGAGAAAGGATTCGGCATCACCACCACCACACCGGCAGGACGCCCCTGCCTAACCCAAATAAACAACCCTGAGCAAGGCCAATGCTATCAGGAAATACAGTGGTGTTGGATTTTGCCTGCCCTGTTATATCCACATCACAAAAGGCAGGCAGAAAACGGCACCCACGGACTCTGATCCCTCCCAGGTGAACCCCAAGTGTTTGTTCCCCTCCCTGGTAACATGGTGCCTCTCCAAAAGCCCAGCAGTRAAACTGCATCTCCTCTGTCAGCTGATTTGCTGTCTGGCTGCATCCGTCACATCTGCCGGCTTTAATGACGTCAATCAGCTTTTATTGCTTCTCCCTTGGAAAACACAAAGAGGAGGCAGCTGAGAAAGCGAGCTGGATGCTGCTCCTCCAGCTTCATTTGCTGGAGGTGCTTACTACAGTCCAGGCACTKCCAGCTGTGTTGAGCTGCTGAAGGTTTGGGGGCTGTACAGAWGTCTCCACCAGTATGAAAGGACTCATAGAGATCTTTCATTTTTGGCATGGAGCCATGAGAGGGAAAGACCCCTACTGCACATCAGGGTCCAAAAAAACCCGTCCAAAGCCGGGTGCACATGGAGAATGGCTTYTTCTCCTGCACTCAGGACCCTGTTGTCAATGAGCACAGGATTTCATAGGTGCTTTTTGCACTTCTCTAAGTCAAACCACACCTCAGATGGAGGAAACTGCAGTTCAGATGCAGTCAGCATCATGTGGAGCAGGGACAGGCTCACCTTGGGAAGCTCCAGGTGGGACAAGCTTAGGGTCAGCTTGTCTCACCAAAAAAAAGCTCACAAACAGGTTTATGGTGAATCCTTTCCCAAGAACTGATTAAACAAGGCTGGGTGAAACACTCTCTGACCTGTCCCTGCCCTTAAAATTCAAACACAGCTCTATTCTTGTAAAGTTGTTTTGTGGGTTATTGTGTTCTTTGTTTTAAAAGACTGAACACCCATCCTCCTGCAGCAGCTAAAACAAGGCTGTTGTGTTTGARGCTGTCCCTGCTCCTTAAGGGCAGGCAGTCTTTTACAAGGGATGTATTTTCTCTCTAATTCCCTGTCACAAAGAGCCACACAGCAGGAGTCAAGGAAAGCAAGTACTTCCCTATGTCCAGATCAGAAAGACATAAAGAAAATAGAGCAAACTTTCTGCATCTGTGATTTTTAGGCCTGTACACCCGTAAAGAWCACACTTTTCACAGAAACTCCCTGTACTGCTGAATCCAGCTTCTCCCATTGCTTCCAACACCTTATGCTGCTGTTGGCAGATCTAAACTGTGTCCCTGTGTGCCCAGCTCCCGGGGGAGAGGAACAAGGCATGAGAGAAATTGAAGCAGTGCCTTCATCAGTCCCATTGCTGCCAGCCACAGCCCAAGCCAGAGCAGAGCTCTTGTGGCAGAATGGTACCTCTGCCCTGCCCATCCAATGCACAAGCCACTGCCCTCAAGATATTACACCTGCCTRTGCCTTTACCAAGTCCCTCACAAGGAGCTGCCAGGCTCTCTGCCATATTTGTACACAGTGGGAACATCCTGCTTTAACTGGCAGAACATCTCTGTGGATTATGGCTTTGCATAACAAGGCTGCTTTGTCTCATTTGTGACTTATCTTTTTGTTTCATAAGTTGAGGTTACAGGAGGAAAAGCCTCAGCTCTGTAATCTGTGAAGAGAGAGGGACAGTAGTCATATCACTCAGTGAAACTAGAGAAGATGATTCACAAAGGTAGATTTCCATTGTTCCTTCTAAATAGAATTCCTAATGGAATTTTAAAACAAAAACAGCAATGGAATGGGATCTGTCATAGGAACTGAGACTATCCTCTGGTTTTTACCTTGCAAATTCAAAGGAGTCATGGCAAGAGAGGGAGATGTTGCGCACATTGCTGCCTCTGAAGCTAAGATATTTAGGTCAACCATATCTAGCCAAGACATGAAAGCACTGTTCATGTCCCTTTTGCTGAGGATGGGATGGGATGAAGGCTGTGTGCTGGTAACCCTTGGTGTGCATTAGTGTGGCCTGTTGGTTCRTATTGCACTGCATGACCTGGTTAGCGTGCTCTCTCTGCTCTCATTGGGCAAGGCAAATGGAGCTGCAGCGCTCAGAAATTGCCTCAGGAGTGACAAAGCAGCCGGAGTGGTTTGGGCATCTTAGGAAATGCAAGCAGGAGGGGGAATATGGAGTTGCTGTGCTTAGGATAACCATCAGTGTCCTTATAGTTCATGTGACAGCTAGCACTTAATCACCAAGGAAAACGGAAAATACAGAATTAACTGTGTGTTGCAGAAATAACCAGCTCACCTCCCATGCTCTGGTGAAAAAATGATGTTTTTTATGAGTGTGTTTCTGCCTGGACAGAATCTTGACCACCGCATCCTTTCTCCCTCATGCACCTGGGTCTGTCTGAGGTGTTGGAGGGTTCCTACAAACATGTATTGAGCTGGTAACAGTTGGGAAGGGAAAGGAAAGGAAAGGGAGACACTGAAGGTTCCTGATGTGAGCCAGCACCTGGACAGCTCACGTGGATGCATGGGCTCCCAGAAGCCCTCCTGGGATGCAACAGCATTTCCCATATGGCATCCARGTATAACAACAGGAGCATCCATGCCTGCTCACCAGAATATTGGTGAAATATGGAAAGAATTTYCTGGCTTTTGAATAATGTCATGATCTCTTTAGTGGTGGGGAAGGAAAAAGTGGATTTTAAGACCAAAACATTTCTCATATAAATTACCATAAGTGGGCATAACAGTTTGTTATGTTTACTTGTCTAACTGGCAAAGCTAGAGGAAAAAGCAAAATGTAGAGATCAGAAAGCCAGGTCAGAGAGCCCTAGGAAGCTTTGAAACTTTTTTCCGGAATCTGAAAGGAATAGAGGACATTTAGCATAACCCTCATGTTGTAGAGGGCTGTGCTGGTTTGTGCTGTGTGTATGTGATTCTGTGATTCTATATTCTGGTTATGACTGAACATTAAGAGTTGCTGTTTCTTGGGAAAACATTCTCATCTCATAACATGCATTAATGCAAATTGATCAAACTGTGTAAGAGAAGTAGGAGGACTTCTCTAGGATCCTTACACAGTCTTGCAACTGTAGAAAAGTTGGCTTCACCTAAGCATGAAGCCCATCTAAGAAGTCCTCAGCTTCTGTTTCTCAGACAAACCCAGTGTTGTCCATGGTGCTCCCCATGCCACGAGGAGCAGTTTCACCCCTCTGCTCTCCACTGGGGCTGTGCAGTGTGGCCACCCTGGCACGGAGTTGCCCAGGTGGCTGAGGGTTGCTGCAGATGAGCTGTGGGTTTAACCCACAAGCAGCATTCATGTGTTTCTCCATGCTTTTATTTTAAATCAGAAAAAATGTTCTGTGAGGGACCCTGCTTTAAAAAATGGTTAATTGTATTTSCTTTCTGTTCCCGTGACCACCCTCCACTTCAATCTCTCCTCTCAAAGGCTTTGGGTATGCAAGGATCTCCTGTACAAAACCTTTGTACACCAGGTTTCTATGTGGTTACAATTTTGGCACCACAAGTAGCAAAGGGGAGCATTGCTCCAGAGACTCCCACACCAACCAGTACCGAATGGGTTAGTGAAAAACAGCCCACAGGCACGGGATTATCCAGATAAGCAACGTGTTGCAACTGAGACCCAATCCAAAATGCATTTTTACGTTTGTACGTGATCGCGTCGTCCCCGTGTGTCGATACAAACAGGGAAATGCGCGGTCATTTGGGACAGGGCACAGCAAATCACACGCGTCCTGTTTCACTCTGGGCTGGATCAGATGTTTCTTTCATCCATGGAGCCTCTTCTGTCTATATAAAATATTCAGCAGCAGCTAAAGTGTATCAATGAAAAGGAATGTGTTAATCGATGAAGTGCTGGGCTCAACAGTGCTGCCAGCACGGGTGTGAAATGGAGTGGGAGAAGGGTGCAGGCCCCTGGCTGACTCAYGTACCACTCCACATTCCCAAATCAAGGGCTGGGGGCAACAGGACATGCTGCACCCACCCCAAAAATCCCTCCAGTAACAAGCCCGTGCAGCCCTGTTCTCTCCAGTATCTGTGGCGATGGCTGTAACCGTTTTCTTACGCACACTGGCGGGTTTGGGGAGTGCTGTCCCAAGGAGATCCCGCTGGGAAAAGCCGAGGAGCCGGTCTGGTCTGTGCCATGCTTTGCCTTTGATAACCCCCTGACTCTTGGGTGTGCTTCGTCCTCGCCGTGCCTGCTCTCTGCGCTCCCGGCTCCCGGCTGAGAGATGGCCACGCGACCGGCGTGCGCGCTCCGGCGTCGGCCCCGGCGCCAAACGTCGCCAGCCTCGGCACCTTCACAGCTTTGCCTCGGCCGYCTGACCTTATCTAGCCAAACAAAGGCCAAAAAATGAGCATTTGAGAGACCAACCAAATTTGGCAGGTATGAAGCTTCTCTTGAACCGAGAAAAAAAAAAAAAAGAAAAATCGAATTGAGAGTTGAAAGCAGCGGGGAACATGACACTTGGTTGACTTTGCCGTGAGCTCTTTCCACCGCCATAAACCCGTGTGGCAGACTTTATAACTCTAACTGGTCTGGTTTTCTCATTCCTCTTACCTCTCTCCTTTTCTGTATCCTTTTTTTGCATGACGTATAACCAAAAAGCTGACTTCTCGCTGTTTGTACATTTGGATGTATGGCTCTTCTTCTGGAGTGTAGCTAATCTGCTAGAGGCATGAGCTAACACCCGTGGTAGCTGCCTGACTTCTAGTCTGGTTGTTCTTAGATGTTCTTTGTTATGTTTTTCCTCTTTAAACTATTTACTCTTACTTTTTCACTTTTTTCCTCTCTGTGAGACACTTTCTGTTGAGCCATCTTCCAAGAAAACTTAAAAAAAAAAAAAAAAAAAAAAAAAAAAAAAATTAAAAGCCCAACAACAGACAACACTAAACAAAATAACAAAACCAGGCAAAGGTCACGGCAAGGTCATTTCCAAAATTATGTCACCTTGATGTCTGCTTCCAACTCTAGATTAATTCAAGGATCTACCAGTCCTTGGTTAATGTATCCAACCAGTTGTGTGCCGCACACATTYGAGAAAGTGGAAAAAACATTTTAGAAAAATTATTGAAAACATTTTAGAAAATCTGCATGAGCTACACCAACACATAAATCTGATCAAAGGGCAAAAATAATTCTCCATCCATGCATGGTGCATGATGATTTCTATGAGCTGGGATCCTGTAAATTAATGTTATGCGAAATCAAAACAGCTCTGTATTGTTAAATGCCCTTAAGTTACTAATTGTGTGTCAAATGTTATAGGGAGTGCATCTGTGTATGTATATGTTCGGCTGTATGTATACATAAATTTATTATGTATATTGTAGATTTTCTTTTTTGTTSCTTTCCTCCTTAATTTAGTTGTTTTAGATTTCCCTACATGTTGAACATCCCTGGGCCCCTGGCTTTGGCCTGATGTGATCTTTYCTTTCTTTTGCAGAATCGCATGCACGAATCTCTGAAGCTTTTTGACAGCATCTGCAACAACAAATGGTTCACAGATACATCTATCATCCTGTTTCTAAACAAGAAGGACATATTTGAGGAGAAAATTAAGAAATCTCCACTGAGTATCTGCTTTCCTGAGTACACAGGTAATGAGAAATGTGGCTGCACAGGAGTGCATGGCAAAGGGACCACAGAGTGCTCCCCAGCCAGGCTGATGCTGTAGGGTGTTACAGGCTAAAGGTGCAGAGTTAGAGATCCCATTGGCTTCCCTGCAGGTTTTATTTCAGTAAGTGCCAAAGCATCACCCCCACCAGGGTCCACTTAAAGCACRAGGATGACTTGACCCAAGTTCTTTGCTGGCAAAGGGCCACCATCACTGAGCAGGGTGTCTGATCTCCACCTCACCAGTGGGTTTGGTGCCACACCAGTACCCTCAGGTGTGGGGCTGCTCTGCACTCCCCAAACACACGTGGTCCCCTGTGTTGCACAGGATCCTCTTGCAGGTCTCTCAGAAWGGTGCAGTGAGTGTCACTGTTATAAATGGGTGACTGGTCTCTGGGACACCAACACACAGGGTTTGTAAGGCTGTCCTCAGCTGGAGTCCAGCTTTGTTCTTTCATACACAACCGTGTTCCTTTTATGGTCTCTGCAGCTCCTGGGAAGGAGCCCACTTTCCCCACTTCCAGGCACTGTGGTGCTGTAGGATCATCATGACCCTAAAAACATTAATGTCCAGGCTGGATGGGGCTCTAAGCAACCTGATCTGGTTCAAAATGTCCCTGCTCACCGCAGTGGGGGTCAGATTAGATGACCTTTAAAGATCCCTTCCAACCCAAACCATTCTATGATTCCATGATCAGCCCTCCAGTGTGCAGACAGTCTCACAGCTTGGCTGCTTCAGCTCAAGAAATACATTTTCATTAAGTTAGTTGACCCTAGTTTCGCTCTCAGGTTTGCCAACATCAGGTGTCTGGATGTGGAAACACTTCCAGTTAAATGCAGGTAGAAAACAAGGTGTTTGATTKTCTGGTCTACCCACACCTCTTAACCCATAGTGCAGGCAGAGGAGAAGCAGAGWGAGCCATGCCCTGAGCTTGGCTGGGGACAAGGAGGCCTTGGTGATCTGTGGAGCTGTGGGGTGAGATGCCTGCCTGGCATCTGACCCACTAATGATGGCAATACACCCCCCATGCAAAGGCTGCAGCTGCACCCCGCTGCTTCCCCCTGCATCTCACCAGCTTCCACAAACCCTCATTACCATTCCGAGATGGCACAAAAATAAACTTTGAGCGTCATGAATTATTTAAACTCACCAGAGACATCCAGATGAATCAAGCCGACAGACAGAGGAGCAGATCTCTTTGTCAGGAAACAKAGTTGTGAACCGGGAGCACCAAGGGTGTCACATTTCTGGGCAGGCCAACAAATTATTAACCAGAGCTTCTTATCTCTGAGCACTTGATTTTTCACTGTGAATAGACAAAAGGGATCCCTCATTGCTGCTTTGGGCTGGATGGTTTGTGGCCATGGAGCTGAATGACTCCAGCTGAATTCAGAACATCTGCAGGCATTTTCTYCAGGGAAAGTTTTGGTGTTTGTCAYTACCAACATATTTCAGCCATCYACTCATCTGCTTGGTCCAGACAGAACCAACATATTCCCAACACGTTTGTTTGAAAAGATCTAATCATGGAAATTTCAGTCTTTACAGCTGGAAGCTCACAATAATGCCTACCCCAAATTTTTSTGGTTGCAAATTAGATTGCTGCTTTTGGATGGCTTGTAGAGCAGCTTATCACTATGTTCTTTATAGCAGCACTTCTGCAAACTGGATGGTTTCTGTCATGTCTTCTTCCCTTTCCTTTTCTCAGTGAAGTGAACCTTTACCTCTCACTCTTTCCTGATCACATTTTGTGCACTTGGTTTTGTGGATCTTCACTGTTGTCTCCCAGAATCTCAGTCTGAAATAACATTCTTACAGAACCCCTGATGTCAGAGAGACTAGAACAAGAAGGAATGTCATTTTAGATATAATTATTCCTTCCCAAGCTATCCCAGACCAAGAGAGAAGTTCAGTGAGAGAGGCAGGCCCTCATGCACATGCTAAGCTCTTGGCTGATGGAACAGAGGAAAGCAAATAAAACTTCTGTCTGGAGCACTCCAGCCCCAAGTGAATCCAAGCAATCTTCCCCAAGCCTTAGGAGACCCTAAGGATGCTCTAAATTCCTTCAATATGCTTTTCTGGAAGCTGGGAGTTCTCACAAAGCCAGAGACCCCCAACAGATCTGTCTCTCTTGTGCCATCRGAGAGGGCAGGAAGTCTGACAGCTGAAAGTCCTTTTCCTGATCCAGCAGGGATCTGAGGTCAGGAGTATCTCACCACCAGGTGAGCAGCAATGCTTTTACACATTGTCTGTGCCAAAATTCAGCCCAGGCACTGCAGCTGCTCRCCCCTGCTTTGCTGGCTGCAGCTCTCAGGATGAAGCCCTCGTGGCCTCATGAAAAAGCAGCATTATTAGAATGTTGCCCTGGAGTTAAAAAGAATTATTTGATGAAAGCCTATAAACTGAACAAGCAGACTTTCAACATCACAAGTAGGTTCCACAAAATGCTTTTAATGAAATGAAATTTCTGATGTCCATTAGTTCTGCTGACAGGGAATTATTAGAAGACTGCATCCTCAAATTTGCCTGCTGTTTGCTGGAGCACTAACTGTTTCCATCCCCTTAATTCACTCATGCTTTTAACTAATCCACAATGCTTAGTAAAGCAGCAGCAGAATCCGTGGCTTGTTTTAAACCAAGCTGGCATTAGTGATTCCCTGCTCTCCTAGACAGAATCAAGCATCTAAATCCTTATGTCTTTGAACAACCCACTTCCTGTTATAAAATACCCTCCTGGTTGTGCTCAGCATGTGGAACTGCCCGCAGATTCTTTACACAGCTCTTCATGCAAGAACCTGCTCCCAGAAAAAAACTTTGCTTCTCTTACTTCAACATATTCTCAAGTCCCATGGCCTTCATGAACTTGTGTGCTCAACTAGCAGTGCATTTGTGTGCAAGTGGGATTTCCCAGAGCAGCTGCCTTCCACCACAGCACATCTCCAGCCCCAGTAACCTTCTCTCCAGCAAATAACAGCATTTCCCATCGGGAAAGCATCATGGAGGGAAAGGGACCCAAAAGCAGTAGCAGTGTTATTGTTGTGGAGCCTTTTTGGGGTCAGGCAGTGCCTGGCAGTGCTGAGAGCTGAACTCCAGGCCAGCCAGAGCCTTCATCAGCCCTAAGCAGGTGCCCAAGTGGAGCTGTGTGTGTGAGCAGGGTCAGAGCTGGCCAGAGGAGAAAGGATCCACTCATTTTTCATGACTCCTTCTAAGCTTTTTTAAACACAAAATTTGAGGGGTAACAAGGTTTGGTACAGACATCTCTATAGATCAAAACAAGAAACTCCTCACGGTGTGATTTTAGCTCTAGCAGAGAGTACTGCAATCCTAATTCCTAAAAAAGGAACATTCTGTATCTGCCTTTTTGGGGTTTTTTTTTGAGAAAAGCCCACTTTGCCCTGTAACAAAGACTGGATCTTTTCATGTCCCTTCCTCTTAATGATTTACAGAAAGGAGGGCACCCAGCTACCAATACTGCCCTCAATTCATGTTAACTCTTCTTTTCCATCAAAAACTAAAGTTTTAATWAAAAAAATCTAAAAAAGGAAAAAAGCTAAGCCTTTTCCCCAGGTCAAGCACTTACTGCATTCCTGGCAGGTTTCTTCTCTTTTTTGTCACCATGATGTGGAATTTCTTCCATCATAGCCTGTTAACACTCAGCTCCCCCATCCATTTCATCTCTATAAACAGCAACTCAGAATAAAAATACAGCTGAGCTGACAGTCAGGGAGCATCTCCTGCCTGGCAGCGATCCCGGCTGGTAGCGGTGCCCACCCCTGAGATGGAGAGGGGTACTCGGGCTGCAGCACGAGCTCCCRTGTCCCTACAACGGGCTGTTTGCAGGCACCCTGTGCATTTCAGGTTTTGGGGCTGCTTTAACCCTCTCCTTGTCCTCTCCTGTCTCTCTCTTGCAGGCCCCAACGCTTTCACGGAGGCGGTGGCGTACATCCAGACTCAGTACGAGAGCAAGAACAAGTCCTCCAACAAGGAGATCTACACTCACATCACCTGTGCCACCGACACCAACAACATCCAGTTCGTGTTCGACGCTGTCACGGATGTCATCATYGCCAACAACCTGCGGGGATGTGGACTCTACTAAAGCACCCTCCTCCCTCCTCTCCTGGCACCCGCCCGGAGTGTCCTCCCGTCCCGCGGACAGGTCCTCCCTTTCCTTGTTTTTTCCTCCTCAGAAGATGRCGAGGAAGAAATGCATAAATCCCTCCTCCTGTCCCAGAAAACTTYGCAGCAAGTTCTGCTTTCCCCAGTCCCATTCTATTTTATTTTGGTTCATTTTTGGTTTGTTCCCTTGCTGCCCCGTCTACTCCTCCGTTCCAATTCACAGTGTTGCGCAGGGAGCTAACGCATTTCCCACAAAGTGCATTTCAACTGCCAAAAGACAAAAATACTTCAGTTTTAAAGAGAGAAAAAAAAATCAAGCCTTAAAATACTGGTCAGGAACAGTGTAGTTTTGAACCAAAACTTTTTTTGCCTTGAAAATTAAGGGATATTGTTCATTCCCCTGGTTATTTGCCTTTTTTTTTAACACTATTCCTTTGGGAAGTGCTAGACACAACCTGATCATGTTGAGGGTACCTTACAGCTCCAGTTCTGACCCCAAAGCTGGAGGGTTTGGTGTTGAATGCAGCCGCCATATCGTGGATTTGTACATTCTCCTTTTTTCCAGACAGCTCTTTGAACAAGTGAAACAGCCATATCGAGTTCTGCTGGTGTCTGAGTAACAGGGACACAGTAACAAAGCCTACTAAGCCTTGTCTAAAAGCATTCATTACTGGTAGCAGTTTACCTCAAGTTTTTCAAAATTAATGATAAAATTTATCTAGTGGTTGCTGTAACCCATTTCTGAGGCACTTCCACGGAGGCCGTGGAGCTGCTGGGCTGGGACCCCAGGAGTGTGGGCAGTGAAAATGCCCCAGGAATGGTGTCCTGATGGGGACCCCACACTCGGTGGCATCCTGACAAAGAATCCAGCCTGGGGACCTGGGGACCTTTCCTAAAGCATCTCCCAACCTCAGTGATCTCAGCAGAGGTGATGCTCCTGCAAACACACAGCATCACTTTCCAAACTTCAGCTCTGAAACACTGGGCTGAGCGAAAAATGTTTAACCCTGGCTCCTTGTAAGCAGAATCTGACCTTTTAGAGAGATGTGGAAGGGTGCTTTGGGAAACCTCCCCGTGCTTGGGTGGCAGCAAAGTGTGCAGGAGCCTCGTGGCYCTCCATTGCCCCTTGGGCATCTAAACCCCTTGAGAAGCCCAGCCTTGTGCTCTGAGCCTTCTTGGCTGGGCAGAAGCGGTGGCTTTCCTGTGTCACCTCCTGCCTGAGCGTCCCAGAGAGACAGCTCCAGGTTTGGAGTCTACAGTCAGGGCATCTCCTTGCCAGTATCTAGAGGAAGACAGATGGTTAACCCTGAAAGGAGAGCTCAGGGAGCTCGTTTGAGTCAATTGATGGAGTAGGAAGGAAAGGAGGAAGGAAGGGCAGGGGAGAGGAGTGGGAACGGCGAGAGTAGCACCCAGCAGAGCAAAACTGGGGGCTCAGAGASAAGGRCAAATGCAGGTGGGCTGTGGTACATGTGGCCACCCACTTGCCATCACCCAGAGCTCTGAGTGCTGCTGGGTCAAAGGCAGAAGGGAATGTGAGACCTGTGGACATGGAGGGACTCTTAAAAGTGCACCCCAAAAGCTTGTTTGTTGTCTGGGTGAGACAGCCACTTCCAAGGTCACACTCAGGGCCCACCTCACCTGGGGGCCAGTAGGAAATGCTGATCCCTGCCTCTCCTCTGCCTCTCTTTAAAGTCCATGATCTCAGAAAACATGAATCTTTCCAGGCTGGCCACAAATTCAATTGTCCTCCCTTKGGAGCCTGATCTAAGAGTGGCTGTCAGGTGTTCAGGAGATCTCTCCAGGGTTGCACTTGAGGGACCATATCTCTTCTCTCACTGTGCCCATTTAGAAGAGATGTGTGAGAGCAGCACAGCCCAAAGGGAGGGGGCCAGGTGAGTGTCAGTGTGCAGGAGGCAGGGACAGGAACATGTATGGTGGCACAGGAGGGAGAGGAGAGTGGGAGAGGTTTAGGGAACGTTTTGGGAGAGAAGTTGCAGAAGGGAYATGAGGCAGATTGAGACAGCACAGAGGATGGGAAGAGAAGGCACCTGGGAGCCAGAGGAGAGTCCCCATCACAGGCTGTGCTCTTCCAGGACAGTGCTTGTGGGACGTCTGTGACAAATCCCCAGCCAGGGATGTGAGCAGGAGCACCCCAGGACAAGCAGAGGAAAAGGAGGTGTCTGTGACCCCCCAGCCAGCTCACAGCCCAGCACGGCTGGCAGCTGTCAGTAACCCCTAGACAGCATTAAATGATGCATTTACTATTGTACAGCMAGGACCTGCTGCTGCCCTGCTGGGCACTAACAGCAATAACACGACTCCCTGCCCCCCTGCTCTGGCACAAACCAGTACCCACCTTTCTTTCACCATCTCAGCCTTAAAATGCCTCCAGTGACATCAGCTCCCACAAARAGCTGGCCAGCAAAACCAGGAGCTCTGCTCCTCCTGCCACAGYCCACCCACACATCTTGTCTGAGCCCCAGCAGTGACACCCAGCATCCACGTGGGTGTTGTGTCAAACCCAGGGCAGAAAAACCACTTTGGTTATGTTTGGTACATGAAGTGTGTAACCACTGACCCTAGAGTGCTGATGGCTGGTGCTGGCAGGGGCACAGGTCTTTTACTGAGCTCTGTAAGAAGAGTTTGATCACAAGCACTGCAGTTTTGGAGATTTTCTGTTGCCACCCCTTGCTGTGAATGACGTTTTATCCAAGCAAATAAGTAACAGAAGCTGTTCCCAGGGAAAGCAGCACCACGCCAAGGCTTTGTGAGCTCCCAGCGTAGAGCACACAGGAATAGTTTGGTAAAGACAATTTAAATTAACTCAACTCCAAACTCTGCCAAATGCAGCCAGTGCTGGCTCAGTGCACTTTTGCTGCTTTCCAGGCTGGATTCACATAACCCATTCCCAGCTGTGTCAGCTGGGAGATCCAAACCCCCTCTGCAGCTCCAGCAGGTTCCCACAACCAACAGCTGGTGCCCCATGGGGAGAAAAGGGAAAAAAAGCGGAGGAAATGTTGCCACTCAGAGCCTCTTCTTTCATTTTCTTTGGCATACTGTGTGTCTAAAGCTTCATCTCAGCTGCTGCTGCTGCTGCTGCTGCCATTCCCTCCCTCACACGCGTGTCATGAGGATTCACTGACAAATGCTGGAAACAGCCTTTGGAAGATGAAATGCTTCCAGTGTTAAACACTACTATTTCTCGCGCTTGATGGCCGCGTATAGATTTTTGTCTCCAGAACGCCTGCCAAATCATTACTCACTGCTGGCTTCTGCATCCTCCCAAGCCTTTCCTCACAGATGTGCAGGCAATCTTTTGCCCCGTGCTTTTCCTAAATACCAGCAATTCTTGCGGCAGTTGCCTAAAAAGTATCTTGAAATACATCACCTGCTTTCAAAAGCCTTTTCTTAACGGCCCTTTGTGCCTTGCAATTGCCAGGCTCTGAATCCAGAGACCTTTGGAGACCCAGAGCTGTGTTTCATTTGGACTCTTCACATAGCAGGGATGTTGCAACTGGTACAGCTGCATCAGAAATCATACAAGGGCATGGAGGATATATTTTAAAAGCACAGAATTGCAACAGCTATGTATGCACCCTGCTGCCCTTCAAAGCTAATGTGGGAATTTGTAAAAAAAAAAAAAAAAGCCCTTTTTGGGATGCAGGAGGTTTTTGACGACTGTGGTCGCTGTTCCAGCAGCAGAAGCATGAGGGGTATCAGCATTGAAAGGAGCTTTAGAGCTCATGATGAGCTTCAGACAGAACCAAAAAAAAAGAAGGAAGCTCCCCCCATGGCTTGCTCCTTAGTCAATGAGAGGGTTGGGTGCAGAGCCATGAGACCACAAAAATGCAAATAGCTTCTTTATTTAAACAATCATTTCAATGAAATTGAGGAACCCATACAAGGAAAGCCTTGCAGTGCTGCAGGGCTGAGCTGCGGAGCTCCTTGGGAGGATGCAGTAGCTGGGCTGGGTGGGAGAATGAGCAATAACCACACTCTGGGAAAGCACACACTAAAATACAGCCCCAGACTGCCAAGGGCAGTTTTTAATCTTGCACACAGAGCTCRCACACTCCCTGGTTTTCACAGGGGGCCGGAGGAGCCCAGTGGAGCTGCAGGACAGTGGGAATGCTCAGTGCAGCCATCTGGCCCTGCCGTCTGTGAGCGCTGAGCGTTCCTGCTGCCCCTGCTGCCCCTGCCCTCCTGCCAGGCTGCATGGTCACATCCTACTGCCTGCCAGAAACACTTCCAGATACATCTCTCTCAGGAGTTTTGTACTGGAATTAGCTTCTTGTCTTCAGCCAGCTTTACTGGATGGCCAGACAGCCTGTCCCAGCATGGAAAGGAGAGCATCCTCAGGAGGAGCCRGCTGTGTCTCCTCTGGTGATGTGATTTTGTTTTACAGGACACCAGAAGTATTAACGAGGGCAGTCTTTAATGTGTATCAAAGTGTATCTGGTGGGTTTAATCTATGACGGTGTGAGCCCAGTGCTTGCCTGCAGGGGAACAGAGCTTGTTCTCAGGCCAGGAGTGCAATCTCTGAGAGGTTAGGGTGGGACATGGGGGTCTTGCCAGAAGGTGCCCACGTGCCCAGCCTCAGTGTGCACCCCAAAAGGCAGACATCACCCCTGGGGGATTTTGCAGTCAGTGCTGGGAAAAGACCAACCCTGCACTGTTCTTTTGTGTGACATGTCCCACATTATTTTGTGGTCAAAAAGTCTCCTAGAGCCAGGGAGAGTTGCTKAGTTCCTGGGAAGAAGGCTGACCATTTGTCAAGTCAATTAGAGAAGCTTAGTGCTCCTGTGTTTGAGTGTTTTCATGGGMCAGGTTTGTCTTCAGGCTTACCACCAAAAGCTCCACAACCATTTCCAAGGAGACTAAAACACTCCTGTAGTGATCTGACACTGGGCACCTCAAGGTCAGCAGAGATGGTGCTACTGAGGAACATCCTGAAGCACCCAGACCCATCACTCACTTGCATCCCCAGTGCACACGTGAGATAGCAGAGACATGCTCCAAGGTGCACAAAATTGCAGACCCTGGTGTTGCCTCTACCTCCCTGCAGGAAGGAGCAGGCAAACACCCCCTGAGGCTTCTCAGGACTCGAGGGTACTGTGTCATTTCTGAGCTCCAGCACTGACACRAGGTAATTGATGCTGACAGATATAGGTACGTGACCTATATATTTACACTGAACGTGCCTGTGGGAAGGGACTTTGCTCAGCACCACTCGTGCCCCAAGCAGCAGCCTCTGGGATCTTTATTTGTGTGCAAAGACAAGCAAACACAAGCAAGGGCAACCCTTAAACACCGATGCCTTAGTGAGAGGAGGACCAAAGCCTCCAGCTGGCACCCTGCAGGCACAGGGAAAGGGAGCTGGATTCCAGAAACAGCTCCATCTCCCCAAGAGGGCAGCTCWGTTCATGGACACTGGGTGCAGGAGGCACAGGGAGGAGAGACCTGCACAAGAGGCAGAGGGGCTGGATGCTCACTGCCCCAGTCTCGGAAATTAATGTCAAGACCCAATCCCGTCTGTAGGGCAGGCAAGCAGCTCCAGAGCTGAAGCCCTGCTCCAGGCAGGGAGGGGAGATCTTGGCAGGTAAAACACCATTTTCAGCAGTGCCTGAGTCTCACCAGCTTTTCCAGTGCTGGACCAACCTGGTGGCACTGGGCAAGCAAGGAGGGTTGTTTAAACACCAGCCWTTGCCCTGTTAAACAGCCCAGTCCCTAATTTGTGGTCCTCAGCCCTATTCCCCAMCCTCCCTTCTCCCACTTCAGCTCAAGAAGGGAAGAGTGACCATCACCCAGCCTGTGGGCTCCCCGCTCCCCTCCACATTTCCCAAAGGATCGCCGGAGGCTGTCACCGTTTTCCTTTTGCTGGTTTCCCGCTGAATCATTTCTCCTGCATGTTTGATGGCCCAAACTGTATTAACTGTAATTTTGTACGAAGAGTGACTGTCCATTGGTTTAATAGAGCATTAGTTATTGTAATAATTTATTGGCTGTTGGTAATGTATTTATTAGTTACAAAATGTTAATAAAGTGCCAGCTCTTTTCTAGTGTGAGAGTGGTTTTATTGTGTCTCCCTTGAGTGCGTCCAGCTTCTCAAATTTGTTATTTAACCCTATGGCTGCTCCACAAACACTTGCACAGCACACAGCACCAGCTGTCTGCCATAGCCTCATCCACCTGGAAATAAGAAATTTGAAAAGGATATAACCAAAAGAGATTTCATTTTATGCTGGAAATAAGAAATTTGAAAAGGATATAACCAAAAGAGATTTCATTTTATGTAAGTAAGTATTTGGCAGAATTTTTTTTCCTTTGCTCGCCAGAGGCACCAGCCCAGCACAGCATCCTTGCGGTCCCATTGCTCCCTACACCTCTTCGGTTACAAATCCTTTACAAGTCACAAACTTTGCTTTGCTTTTCCACTGTATTTTGTGTGAGCACAGAGTCAGAAGACCCATTGCTGGTTCAATCCAGTAAATKGTGTGTTCTCCTTGCAGTAGCACAAAATGTGGAGCATCCTTCCCTCCCTTTAAAAGAATGCTTGAGCCAGTTTGTTCTTCTATGTTTAAACTAAAGATCTTCCATTATTTGGGGCATAAAATAGAAGRACTTGAAGAAACCAAGAGAAAATTTTCTGTAAACCTCAGCAAAGGAAAATGAACAATTGCTCCTATTGACTTCACCAAATATTGGCTTCAGCTGGACACAACCTCATGTCCTGCCCACAAATCCCCACACGGCCCTACAGATCCTACAGATCAGASAGAGCTACAAACCAGCCCTGAGAAAAGGAAACAGCTGAGAGGGAAAGGAATTTGTTTTGTGTATTGCTATTGGGGATTTTTAAAAACCTTCTCCAGGACATCATCCTGCTCGGATCTTCTGCACAGCTGTCCAGGACCCTCAAGTCACCAGCGTTATTTTGCCTCAATGGGGGCAGAAGCTTTGTATCAGCTGCTCTTCCACCAATATTTAAATACACAATACCACATATTTAAATATACAACAACACCAGCAATGAACAAGGAAAAGCCCACCCAGATACTCTCCATGAAAATCTCAAGACCCAGCAATTTTGCAACAAGCACAAGTCAAGAAGAACCACGATCTTTTGTGGCAGTTTCTGGTTTCCCTRTGAATAAGGCCCTTTTTATATTTCAAGATAAGGATCACATTGAAGTCCCAAGGCTTTGGAAAGCGCCTGCTTGGCATCCCCAGCTACTCTTTGTCAAGGAACCGACAGTGCAATCGCTAAGCCTTTCAAGATGAAATCAGACAGCTGCTAAATTTTGCATGCAAAAGCTACCGTTGAAGTGGAGCTAATAAAATGACTCACTAATAAAACATTCATGGAAAACTCCAAAATGTGTAATTGGGTCATCATTTCATTAGCAAACACATGTGTTCTCGTGAATCTTCGGCAAGTCCAGGGCCCCCATTGCTGCACCTCCAAAAAAARGGGGCTGTGGAGGGATTTTGTGGGGGATGTTTGCTGCAGGAGGGCTCCCACTGGCTGCTGAGCCCCTGGAGCAAAGCTTTCCATGAGATTTCCACAAGGCTTTTKTAACAGCTGTGTCCCTGTGTGAGCTTTGGGCAGTGGAGCCAGAATTGGGGGGCTCAGCCCCCAGAGGGGTTMCGGGGAGGGGCAGCAACCTCAGAGCTCACCAAGCCCTGGCTTTGCACCAGAAGCTTTGCAAGCTCAGGAGGTGGGTACAAAAAATGAAAAGGACTTGGGGACTTCTGAAACATCTGCCCGAGCTGTCAGTGGATGAGCAGGGAAAGGCTTTCTGGTGATTCTAAGAGCAAGTTAATGATGGAGAAAATGTTTGGGAGCTSATGGAGTTCCAGATCTGTCCTGTCCAGTGGCACCTTCACACTGAGTGCATGCACCTGCATGAGACACCCTGCTCTGTAGGGCCTCTCCTCCTGTTCTGCTGTCTGCTCTCCACTTCTTCAAAAACTTTGGTAGCACAGAAAATGGCTTTTCATGGGTTTTGTCCACATGTAAAAGGGAAAAAAACAGGAAAATAAAAAAGGAAAAAACCCCAACAAGACTACAGCTTTTAGAAATTTATCTTTTTGCTCCTACCAAAGCTTTTCCAAGCTTAGTCTCTCTGGAGCAGCCTGCAAGGCCAGAATACCCAGGAGAGCTGGGAAGTGGGCTRGCAGAGGCACCTGCACTGGCTACGGCCATGCAGCAGCACTGGAACCTCCTAGGAGCAACCCAGCCACAATCCAGCTCAAAGCTGAGCTGAAGATTTTTCCAGGGACAGGACCTGCCCAAGCTCTGGGCAATTCCTTGGCACTGGTCTCGCTGCAATGCCAAGAACCCTTCCAGGCAGGAGGAACACCCTGGGATGGCCAGAGCCCCCTCCATCCCAGTCCCTGTGCCCGGTGTGTCCCAGCTGCTGGCTGRTGCTGTCTGTCCATCCTTTATTTGTGCTCTCCAAAGGCGCTTCAGGGGTACCCAGTCACTGAACGGAGACAGGGCCCCTTCCCYACTCCTTTGGTGAAGCAGCAAAGGATCCAATGACCTTTTTCCTGCTCTTCCTTGACGTTTCAAGTGTCTGCCCTGCCAGAATGGCCCACGGGGATTTGGGGGAGGATCAGCTGCAGCCCCACACCTGCCCTGGCCTCCAGCCCAAGAGGAGGGCAATGCCCCATTTCCTCCTCCTTTGTACCCAGCTCACATTTATCACTGTCTTTATTTTAGAGATTTTTTTTTTTTTGCTTTCTAACCGTTTCAATTCACAGAAATGTTCTCCTCCCCTCTAACTCTTTCTTTGTCTTTGCCTTCCTCTCTCCCCTCTCCTCCCTCTGTGCTCCCCTTTGCAGAACCGCATGCACGAATCTCTCATGCTCTTCGACTCCATCTGTAACAACAAATTCTTCATCGATACCTCCATCATTCTCTTCCTCAACAAGAAAGACCTATTTGCTGAGAAGATCAAGAAGTCACCTCTGACCATCTGCTTCCCTGAGTACACAGGTAGGTGCTGGGGCCGACACGGAGCAGCCGCTGCGACGAGGGGACAGAGGGGACAAAGGGGACAGAGGGGACAGAGGGGATGGGGGGACAGAGGAGACAGAGGGGACAGGGGGGACAGCAGGGACAGGGGGGACAGAGGGGACAGGGGGGACAGGGCGCCTTTGGGGGCAGCAGAAGCACTGCCCACCTTCACGAGCTGCGATGCACAAATCCCACTCGTGGGGTGGGGCTGTGTCCTGGAGGGGCAGTTCTTGAGGCAAAGGCACACGAGGAGATGGTGGGACCRAGAGGGGCTCAGAGCAAATGGAGATGAGCTGAAATGAGCTGGGCATGGGGAGCTGTGGGGAGAAGAAGCCTTGGCAGGAGCCACCACTGGAGCCGTCCTGTTTGCTGGGGGTTCCTGAGAAGCTCCTGCAAGAGAAGCAGCAACACAGYCCTGCAGGCTGCATCTGCCCAGAGTGCCTTCACCCTGGTGTGAGGGAGGACAGAGCCCCTGGACAGCAGGAATCTGTGGAACCACAAGAGATCATCCTTGGAGTGAAACTACATGGCCTGGGGAAGAGGCCAAACAACCAAGAAGATGGGCACGGACAGATACTTTGGGATTAAAAAGTCASTTTAAATTCAGACTCCAGCATCCCCTACAGCTACTGAGATGTCTCTGAGCTGTTCCACCCAGAGCACACCCATCCTGGATGCCAAACCCTGGGGACAAGGGAGTCCCTCAGCAAGATGGCATCTCTCTCTATGGCCAAAATGCACCAGCATTTCCACCAGAGGCTTTCAGGCTTCTCCACYGTGACGGCACTGGTGCTTTTCTCAGCAGCACCTGGCAGAACAAACCAGACTATCCCACAGTGCAGCTATGGCACAGCCAGGCTGCCCCACAGAGGGACAGCCCAGTGACACCGGCCCAGCTCCTCTGCTTCAGCCACCCACCGCATCGGGAACCAGGGGAACCAGCGAGCTGGAAAAGGAAAATAAATCTCCAGATAATAGCAGCTCTGGCAAAGGCGATTTCAGGGGCGTAACTCAGCTTTGTGGCTTCCCGCGAGGGGCCAGCGCAGCCTCTCTCGCTGCCCTAAGCAGCTTAATGCAATAATGCACATTTTTTGGCTCAAACATCTGGCGCCTCTCCAGCCCACCTTCCCCAGGCAAAGCTCCCAGCGACRGAGCCAGCAGGGAACGCGTGTGACCCCACACGGCTCCTGGCCCATCCCAGAGCCGGGAGAGACCCCCACCCGGCCCGGGGGGCACAGAGGGGCTCAGCAGAGTCCACGGGTGATGTTGGAGTGGCCACCAACTCTGCTGACCATCCCTCTCCGTGCCATCCTGAGGGGTCACCAGACCCCTGGCCCTGCTTTCTCCCCAAACCCTGACGGGTGCCCCGCGGGGACCCCTCGGTCACAGCCCCCAATTCCTGCGGGATAAAGGGGACAGAGAAACACCTGGGGAAGGAGGAGCCCTCAGGGGGAAAATCGGGGAAAATCGGGGAAAGGGGATGGGCAGGAGGGAAATGGGGTGAACGGACCCTGCTGAGGGGTGAAGCGGGGACGGCAGGGGGTGAGATTTAACGGGTTTTGCAGTTTGTGTGGCAATGAAAGCTCAGGCAGCAGCGAGGGGCTGCGTTTGGTGTCCCCTCAGCCCTGACAGCCCCGCTCTGTCCTCACTGTGCCCGCAGGTCCCAACACCTACGAGGACGCGGCCGCCTACATCCAAGCACAATTCGAGAGCAAAAACCGCTCCCCCAACAAGGAGATTTACTGCCACATGACGTGTGCCACAGACACGAACAACATCCAGGTGGTTTTTGACGCCGTCACCGACATCATCATTGCCAACAACCTGCGGGGCTGCGGCTTGTACTGACCCCGCCGGCACAGCGACTGCTTGGGTGGCGATCCCGGCGCCAGGAGAGAAAAGAAACGTAAAAATAACAACAACAAAAAAAATAAACCCCAACGCAACCACACACAGACACACACAGACACACACACGCGCGGGGAAAAAAAAAAAAAAAAAAAAAAAAAAAAGGAAACGAAAAAAAAACAGATTGAAGGAGAGAAAAAAAAAATTGTCATCATAATCATGCGAGTTGGTAAATAAAAAGGCATAAGGAAAAATTATATATATACGTATATATATATATAAAAAAATCCACACTCATCTTTTTAGTTTGTTTTTTTGGATCCCCTTCCCCCATCAGGCTCCTCACTCTGGCCTGGGGACACCCTGGGCCCCCCATCCCAACAGTGCCCGGGGTCACCCTGGGCAGGGGCTTCTCCTCCCAGCACTTATTTGACCATTGGCTGCTATTTTTTAATTATGATTGTTATAATTCATTATCGTGGGTTGGCTTTTTTCAATTATTGTTGTTATTATAATTATGGTTAATTATTTTTTCCAGCATGGGTAAGGCTGGGCTGCCCCCGCCTGCCCCCAGCCCCGCTGCCGCCTTCAGAAATAAAAAGATTATTTGACCTTTTTTTTTTTTTTTTTTTTTTTTTTTTTTTTTCTTTAAAGAAGGAGGGAAAAAATTGAAAACTGCCCCCGGCCACATGTCACAGCTAAAAAGGGAAATAACAGCAGCAAGAAGCAGATCTCCCTTTTCCCACCCTGGCTGTCTGGGGGGAAGGCTGCAGGGTGGCATTCTCCTCCTGCTCCCTTCCCAGGGTTTCAGGGGGGTTTAGGTCAGTTTTTTTAATCCCACACCAGTTCAGGCCAAAGCCCTCACCAGCCAGAGCCGGTGGGTTTTTCCCGTTTTTTCCCTCCATCCTGGTTTGACAGCTCCCTGCTCCCGGCACTGCTCAACCCAGGTCCGGATCCAAAAGCACAGCTCGGCCCCCCCAAACCAGAGTCCCCCTCATCCCTCCTTCAGGGCCGACCAGGGACATCAGGGAGGGCTAGACAGATATAAATATATTTTATTTTATTTTATTTTATTTTTTGTTTAGAGTATTTTTTTTCCTTTTGTTTTGTTTTTATTCTTTTTAACTCTTTTCCAGTGAATGCTTTTTTTGTGCTGCTTTTCTCTCCCCCCTCTCCTGCCCTGGTTCTCTCTCCCTTTTAGTGAATGGTGTTTTCTCTCTCATGTGGGGATGTTTGTGCTGCAAAATAAGAAAAAAGGAAAAAAAAAGCAAAAAAAAACTTTAAAAAACAAACTTAAAAAAAAAAGCAAGAATGAAAATAATTTAAAAATTTTAAAAAACACACACAAAACCACAAAAAAATTAAAAAATAATAAAAAAACAACAACAAAAATCGAATGTAGTGTTTACATTGAAGCCACCGTTTTCATGACCAATCCCTCGTCATTTCTACTTTGATTAGTAACCAGACGTCTTCACAGTTTCACTTTTACGAGTTAMCTTTGCTGAAGAAGAGCAGTCACACCTGTTCAAAAGAAAATGAATAAATAAAGAGGAAACTTAAAAAAAGATATTATATATATATATATATAAAAAGCGCCAGGTCTTTCTAAGCCTTTCTATTACCAATCAGTGAGGTTTCTGTGATATATTACACACTGCCAATCTCTTTCTCTGACTAATGGAAAAATTCATGTGTAGCTCAATAAAGAGAATGTTTGTCTGTACTCCGGGCTCTCCCCTCCTGTGCCTCCGCCTCCTTCTTTCCCCCCGCGCCTGCCTGACTCCTTCTAAAGGGAGGAAGAAAAAAATGCCAAAAATCACATTTAGGGGGGATTTGCTGCTGGTAGCACAGGGAGAAAGGARCTCCTGATCGGTGTAACTACGGATTGGGTGTGAGTCCTGGGAGAGCAATGTGTGGTGCTTCAGAGCATCACTGGGAGCAAAAGGTCCCCCCAAAACACCTCCCCAACCAGGGAAATATTTTTATTTCTTTGGGGAATACAAAGCCAATCATCAGGGTGAGGCCTTCATTTGTGGCAACATAACAAATCCCATAATATTYAAGTTTTTCCCCCTAAGATCTAAAGGAATGTTCTCCAAGAAAGTTGAGGTTTTCTCCCTGCGGTGTGAGTGATTCAGGGTTTGTTTAGATTTTGGGGGATTGGGGTTTTTTTCCCCACAGTTTGGGTTTTTCCTGCATTTTCTTTCGGCCCAGCCCCAGCTCCAGAGCACAGGGGGGACATTTGGGGAGCCCCCGGTCCCAGGCACGGGGCTGATCCCGGCACCGCATCCCCTCCGGTGCCACGGACAGCATCCAAACCGCACGGGACCGCCCGGGGATGGAGCCACAGGGAGGGATCCACGGATCCAGGAGCCCCTGGGCCACCCCTGGCTGTCCCTGCCCAGCCCCGAGGAGGGAACGGGGGTTGGCAGAGTCTCCATGGAGCAGCAGCGGCTCCTGACCAAGGCGGCTTTTCCAAGGTTCCTGCTGTTTACAGGACCAGAAGCGCGTGTTGGGCTGGAAAGTCGATCGGGGCTCTCCTCAGATGACCTCCCTTTCCAGGGAGGCAGAGCCAGCCAAGGGGCCACCACTGGTCCCTGTGTCCGCTGCACAGACCAGCCTTTCATGGCTCAAGTAGGTCATTTTGCAGCGGTGCCGCAGGCGAAGGTGCCATCCAGTGGCTGGCCAGTGTCCGCTCCTCAGGGAGCTGCCGGGAAAAGGAGCGCAACAGAAATCCGGAAAGAATAGCCCGAGTCTCTGAAACATCCCACCCTCCCTGGCGGAGCTCCAGGAACCTTCCYCTTCCCACTRAGACCCTGCTGTCATCTCTGCTGCRGMSC